ACACCGCAAATAGCACACACAAGCACTTGCGGGCTGCGCGCTCTTGGGTGCTGCGTTTCCTTTAGGATTCTCGCTGCCCCATGCACGTCTCGACTGAACGGCGGACGTCCAGGCGCTGGGCAGTGACAATCCATCGGGTCCTAATTCCGCGAGTACCGCCCTAATTTGTGTCCGAGAGGGCCGTGCAGCGTCTCGCTGCGCGGACGACGCGGGACTGGCCGCGGGAGGCTGGTCCCCGGCTTGGAAGCCCAGGTCACCCCTCGTCTTCACCCGCCACTTTGCTGACCGCTCTGCAGCTCACGGAGCAGGGTCGGGGGGTGGTGGGATGTCGGGGGCCGTCACCTTGCCAGTTGGAGTTATTTGTAGATTTCTGGCTTGGGAAAAACAGACGCGCCACCGTTCTGACTTGGCATTGTCTTCGGATCCCAGCACCGCCTTGCGGGCGCCCCAGTCAGCCTTTTCCCAGAGCGGGGCGCTGATAAGGTACCCCGGCGAGGCAGGGGGCAGACAGGAGTCTCTCCGGTGAAGCCCTGCCAGCCTTCTCCTCCCCTTCCGTCTCTGAATCCCGGCTCTTTTAGATAGAAATACAGCCTCGAAGTTAGGGGTTAAAAGTCTCTTCTTAAATGGTACAAGGGCAGAGAGGCAACCATCGGTAGGAAATTGGATCTCCGGCTGCGAAGAGCAGATCCAAGCGGTGAGCGCGTCTGTTTACGTTCCTCTTCGAGATGGTGCCAGGACACGAGTTGATTAAAATAAGTGGGTCACCAGGGATTTAAACTGCCCTAGGGACCCCAGAGTAGTGGCTTTCTCTGACTGTACACGCAAGATAAATAAATAGCGGAGAAGAGTTTAAGATAACCCCCATCCCAGGGCATGGAGTCTTCTTTCACCCCAGGGCTTTTCAGCCCTACCTCTTTCTTTTTCTTTTTTTGGAAGAGGGGGCACTTGAAAGGGTGGGCTTTTCAAAGCAACGAGGGAAAGAAGTATTTTCAGAAAACCACAGATTCTCCTCTCCTCCCTGGTACACTCCAGCTTACAGCAGTAGGTGATCATCCAGTAACCATCACTGGATAAATTGCACACTCCAAATTGTTAGTATTAATTAATTTTTTAAGGGCTCTCTAGAACTTGGTTGCTGGGTGTAGTGCTGTAGCGTGTGTGTGTATTTAACCCCCAGGTCATTGTAGGAATTAAAGTGTTTTGTAAACTTTGTAATTTCACAGGTTTCCTATTTTCTTAAAAGTTCATTTTGAGTGAAATGTTTTGCTAACCCATGCACGATCTATGGGAAATTCAAATTGGCTAACCTAGTTTTAGATGAATGGCTACACAGGGGAGAGTAGAAACCTATTACATCCCCGCATCTCTGAATGAAAGCTGCCTGCCTTGTCTTTATACTGAAGTCCTAAAGGTTTAAGTAGTAAAAGTAATATAATGCCAAGAAATTTTATGCCACAAACCCCTCTCCCAAGAAATGCTTGTCAGCAGCAAAGCAGTACAGAACAAAGTGAAGGACAGATGGAAAACCTAAATCTTATATGTAAAAGGAGTGGGAGATGTAGGGGAGGCGACTTAGCATCCAACTGAAAGGCACAGATCAGGCCAGTGTTATCAGCCTATGTCTTGCATCTGCAAGGAATTGTCTTTAGTTTTAACATACGCTTTTAGAAATGTGAAGGACAACAGTATTCCCTGGGATCAGAAAGTTTTTTTCCTTCACATATGAACAAAACAGAGAATTATTTGAGTTACAATATTCGTCACATTTGATTGCATTAGAAACAAGTCCATGTGTCCCTTATTAAATACTGTGCTGTGTGTCCATAGAATAATTCTTAAGGACATGTGTTTGGGGACTCAGAAGAATGGGACTCAAACCCCGACTTCCCCACCAGGGGATGTGTGACCTTGGACACACTCCTAACTTTTCAGAGTCTAGATTCCCTGGTTGGTAAAAGGAAGACGATATTATCTACCTCCTATTTTGTTGTGAAAAATCAATTATAAAGTTCTGTCAGAATTGAGTATACTGCCTCACATAGGGTTTAAAAATATAGGTAGCTCTTATTATGAGTGGTGGCATTTGGAGAGGCAGTAACATTTTAGGACTTCAAGGTATACCACAAGATGGTTGTGAAATTAAATCCCAAGTCCTGCTCACACAGAGATCAACACACACCTTTTACTACAACGTAGAACCTGTGATTTGGCTGTCTCTCAATTGTGCCGCTTAGTAAACATTTAACATTCATTACTTCCCAACTTGTTTCCTGTTGACCCCAAAAATTGTATACTATCATTAACTTCATTAAAAAAAAAAAAATCTTCCAAGAGACTGGAGAGCCCCTGAGATGCTTCTCTGTGCCCTCTATGATGTTGGGCCCCAGCCTGACTTAGCCTGGGTGGTCTTCAACATAGAAAAGATGCAGTTAGTGCGCTTGTAGGACACACAGGTGAGATTTATCCTCTACTAGTTTGCCAACCATTTTGGTACAAATTGAAAACAGAAAATCAACCCAGTAGATTCTTAAGAACATCACTGCTCAATTTCTAAAATTTGACTATCTTTCTAAAAATTGAAGATCCAATTAAAAATGTTTGTCCTTAAAGATGTAGTCCTGAGAAAAAGAAATAGGGTCTTCTATAATCGGGCCTGCACTTAGAGCCTTTGCTGTCATTTCCATCTTTTTCTTTTTTTTTAATGCTGGTGAATAATTTGCTGTCATGCCTGTTGAATAGCTTTCTAAAACATTGATCAGACATTCAGCCACAGACATCTGGCTTGCTGATCATTGTCTCCTCACTGTTAATCCCACTCAGCACTCCATTTAACTGATTACAAGCAGGTTGGTTAGCTAAAACGAGAAATATGGCGAGAAGCGTGCTGAAAGGAGCTGGCCTAAACTTTCCCAAAGACATTGAGGATATTAGAAACAGGTTACACATAGCACTTTTATTCCTCATTCCCAAGAATTAGATGATTGTATTCTTATGGCCTGGTGAAGGTTAGAATAAATTACCATGACCTGCACAAGACAAAGGTGGCTGATATGGGTTATCTTTGGGCAGATGTTTGCTTTTGATCACGCAGGGTAACCTGAAGGAAAGCATCAGGGACAGAAGACATACTTTGAGAGTATCTGTGTCCTCTGAGACAAGTGGATTAGAGGGGAGGACAGTGGTAAAGGGGGAAAAAAAGTTAGGAGTGGGTGGGTCTTGCTGTTGGGAAACAGTTGCAGAGAAAACTCACCATGAAAATATAATCACATGACTTGGTGAAGCAGAAATGCATTGAGGGGAAGCTGAGGCAGCCTTTGGAAAGAAGAATATTATCTGCAAAGGAGAAATAAGGGAGATTTTGTAGGTGTCTGATGCACTCTGGGTCCATGAGTTGCAGCTTTAATTTAATAATGTGAGTGGGTCATTTCAAAATGCAAATTACCAGAAATGTTTTCAGCTCATGGCTGAACACGGGTGATAATCCATAAGACCTAAATCTGGGTTGGCCTTTGCTTCTATTTTTTATAATGGGGCACTCTGCTAGATGTCAAGGTGAAGAATTGATGTGCAAGAAGCTTATATTTTTCTTGGTTTCCCTCATGTCTAGATATTTACAGATTGCAAATTATTTAGTGATGATACAATTGGAATTTCAAGAACACATCAATCCTATTTCCACTACGTATAGTTTTCATCCCCCCTGCACCTCCCCGCCCCCGCCCGCCCCAGCCTTACTCATGTGGGATATGCAGAGTTTTCAGAGCATTGCTCTAAGAACTTGAGGTCTCTGTTGACTGAGATTCATAAAGTTGTTTTTTTCTTCTCTTCAAATAACTAGTTTTAAGAACTCAAAAGCTGAAGATATTTAAGAGTAAGCTTTAAATTTCTGTGTAGCCATTTCATAATATTTTTTCACACATGATAAATCTTATTTTGAGAAAAATTTACTTTTCTTAAAAACAATCTGTCACTCTAGACCCCTTTTTCTTATGGGGCTTGCACACTCCCATAGGAACAGGAAGTTGGTCCAAATTAAAACAGAAAACCACAGTTGACTAATTTTGAATTTACTGCTTTACTCTTGGTTTCTGCCCAAGTGAATCCAGTGGCTTCAATGGGAAAATAAACCCCACGGTGTTCTCCAGGGACCTGGTAAAAAGTAGTGTGTATTTGGAGTTTTCCTAGAAAAAGGAAGAAAAGTATTAACAAGCTCCCAAGGCTAGAAGGAGACAGAAATCAAAAGTTGGCTTGGCTCATCAGCTTGTGGGAATGCATTTTAAATGCAAAGAACAGAAGTTTTGCTGGTCAGTGTGGTCCATGACAATCATCATTGAATAAAAGAGAGCCCACTCTGCCAGGAATTGGAAGAGGAGGTAATGAATAAGCCCTTAGAACTCTCAAACTTGGTTTTATTTAATGACAAATGGAAAAATGCCAGATAGGAAAAGATGAATATAAAGAAGGTCCTAAGAGGTGAAGAGAAAGAAAACTGCATTTTTTGGATAGCTGTTTGTGGGTAGGGCTGGCCCCATGGCCCGTGACTCGAACCTGTAGTGTAAGGTCATCATACATTCCTAGTCAAGTCTCAGATTGGCCTCTGTGATGCTGGCTCTGCAGTCTTGCTCTGGAGGCTTCAGTTTTTCTGGAGGCCCCTTTTAGGAGAGATGGGGAAGATGGTGGGTGGAGGCCTAAGGCTGTCTTATGTGCTCCTCTTGGACATGGGCAGAGACTGAATTTTAGTTTAGAACAGAAACTTTGAAAGCTTCCCAAATTCACACTATATTTGCTCAGGAGAGGATTGTCACGGCTCAAGTTATCCTGGTCTCTGGAGAAAATCAGACTGTTTTATAACTGGGTTGTCCTCATGAGTGATTTTTTTTTTTTTTAAGACAAAACAAGGAAATTAATTTTTTGTTGTTGTTGAGGCCAGAAAGGCTCTGTTTAAAGAACGGGGATGATGTTGTAACATAAACTGACAAAAACCAGGGAGTCTGCAGTCAGAGCTGGAGCTAAATGTCACATTATCAGCTCCAAACTTGAAATTGCCCCGAAGTACTACGTTAATGTTTAAAAGGTGCCATTTAAGAATATCTTGATTTTCATATTTAATTGTCTTAATTTGACATTATCCTTAGGGTTGCATGGTCTTTACTACCGGACTTGCCCCTTAGAGGATGTAGAATCTACCCTGCCTTTGTCTTTGAAAGGTAACTGCTCCAGCTACTAATTCCAGCCTGTATTGTTCTAGGGGGGCGTGATGAGGTTACTGTTCAATTGCACTTAGTGGTTATCATGTGTCACACTGGTGGTCAGAAGGGAGCAGGCAAATGGGTGCTTCACAACTGTGTCCTTAGGTTCAGAACCACAATGGCCGTGTAAGACAGGGGAAGCCTCAGGATCCATCAGGTTCACTGTTACAGCCTGAGGAGGGAGGCTGTGAATTTGAAACTGCACTCATTGAAAAGAAAATCCTTTCACATTTTCACAGCACCTTCCATGCCCCATAGCTGCGGGTACCACAGACCTTGCTGTTCCAAGCTTGTTAGAAAGGCAGACCTACTGAACAACAATCTGCATTATAACAATATCCCCGCGTGATTGTCTGCAAAATCAGGTTCGAGAAGCACTGTCCCAGCAGAATCTTAATACTCTGATGCTTCTCTCTTGCACCCTCCTTTTGAAAAATATACTTCTGTTCTTCCTTCTCTGTCTGTCCCGCCTTCCCTGAATATACTGCTTTAAAATAGTCTTCCTTTCTCTGATTTACACTCCTCATTCCATTCATTTTTCTCTCTCTCCACCTTTGCTTTCCTTTTTTTTTTTTTTTTCCTTTTTGGTCAGTTTTCCTATAGCCTCCTCTTCTCTTATTTTAATTTTTTTTTTGCCATTGTTCCTGCTGACCAATATCTAACTCCAGACCCAGTCATAATAATTCACTATCATAAACTTATTCAACATATCTCTGGCACTTATCTATGTAAATATTTGCACACACCTGTTTTCTTGTGCCCACCTTCTACCTTGTAAATTTCATATACACATCCATGCACATACACACACATATATGTGGAGGACATGTCTCATCATTTGGAAGTGTATCATGGTATTTGTTGTTTTTCAGTTGCTAAGTTATGTCGGACGCTTTGCAACCCCATGGATTGCCACACACCAGGCTTCCCTGTCCTTTGCTGTCTTCCGGAGTTTGCTCAGATTCATGTCCGTTGAGTCGGTGATGCTGTCTAACCATCTCATCCTCTGCCAGCCCCTTCTCCTTTTGCCTTCAAACTTTCCCAGCATCAGGGTCTTTTCCAATGAGTCAGCTCTTCAGTGGTCAAAGTATTAGAGCATCAGCTTCAACATCAGTCCTTCCAATGAATATTCAGGGTTGATGTCCCTTAGGGTTGACTGGTTTGATCTCCTTGCAGTCCAAGGGATTGTTAAGAATCTTCTCCAGCACCACAATTCGAAAGCAGCACTTCTGCACTCTGCCTTCTTTATGGTCCAATTCTCATATCCATACATGACTACTGGAAAAACCATAGCTTTGACTATATGGACCTTTGTTGTCAAAGTGATATCTTTGCTTTTTAATATGCTGTCTAGGTTTGTCATAGCTTTTTTTCTAAGAAGCAAGCATCTTTTAATTTCATGGCTGCAGTCACCATCCGCAGTGATTTGGGAGCCCAAGAAGAGAAAAATCTGTCCCTGCTTCTACTTTTTCACCTATTATTTGCCATGAAGTGATGAGACTGGATGCCATGATCTTTATTTTTTTAAAGCTGAGTTTCAAGCCAGCTTTTTCACTCTCTTCTTTCACCCTCATCAAGAGATTCTTTAGTTCCTCTTCACTTTCTGCCATTAGAGTAGCATCATCTGCATATCTGAGGTTATTTCTCCTGGCAATCTTGATTCCAGCTTGTGATTCATCCAGCCCAGCATTTTGCATGATGTACTCTGCATATAGTTAAATAAGCAGAATGACAACACACAGGCTTGTTCACCTTTCCCAATTTAGAACCAGTCAGTTGTTCCATGTCCAGTTCTAACTGTTGCTTCTTGACCCACATACAGGTTTCTCAAGAGACAGGTAAGGCAGTTTGGTACTTCCATCTGTTTAAGAACTTTTCACAGTTTGTTGTGATCCAAACTGTCAAAGGCTTTAGCATAGTCAATGAACGAGAAGTAGATGCTTTTCTGGAATTCCCTTTCTTTCTCTATGATCCAACAAATGTTGGCAGTTTGATCTCTGGTTCCTTTTCCTTTTCTAAGTCCTGGTTGTACATCTGGAAGTTCTTGGTTCATGTGCTGCTGAAGCCTCGCTTGAAGGATTTTGAGCGGAGTGACCTTGCTAGCGTGTGAAGCACACACAATTGTGCAGTAGTCTGAGCATTCTTTGGCAATGCCCTCCTTTGGGATTGGAATGAAAACTGACCTTTCCCAGTCCTGTGGCCACTGCTGAGTTTTCCAAACTTGCTGGCATACTGGGGGCTTCCCTGGTGGCTCAGACAGTAAAAAATCTGCCTGCAGTGCAGGAGACCTGGGTTCGATCCCTGGGTCAGGAAGATCCCCTGGAGAAGGGAATGACTATCCACTCCAGTATTCTTGCCTGGAGAATTCCATAGCCAGAAAGATCCCCTGGAGAAGGGAATGACTATCCACTCCAGTATACTTGCCTGGAGAATTCCATAGCCAGAAGAGCCTGGCAGGCTACAGCCCATGGGGTCGCAAAGAATCTGACACGACTCATGACTGAGCAACTTTTTTTGAGTGCAGAACTTTAACAGCATCAACTTTTAGAATTTTAAATAGTGCAACTGGAATTCCATCACCTCCATTTGCTTACTTTTCACTTCAGGATGTCCAGCTCTAGGTGAGTGACCACACCATCATGGTTATCCTGGTCATTAAGATCTTTTCTCTACAGTTCTTCTGTGTGTTCATGTCACCTGTTCTTAATCTCTTCTGCTTCTGGGAGGTCCTTAGCATTTCTGTCCTTTATCATGCCCATCATTGCATGAAATGTTCCCTTTACATCTTGAAGAGATTTCTAATCTTTCCCATTCTATTGTTTTCCTCAATTTCTTTGCATTTTTCTCTTAAGTCCCTCCCCCCCTTTAAAAAAAAAATCTTCCCTTGTTATTCTCTGTAACTTTGCATTCATTTGGGTATATCTTTCCCTTTACCCTTGCCTTTCACTTTTCTTATTTTCTCAGCTATTTTAAAGCCTCCTTAGATAACCATTTTGCCTTCTTGCATTTCTTTTTCTTTGGGATGGTTTTGGTCACTACCTCTTGTACAATGTTATGAACCTCCAACCATAGTTCTTCAGGCACTCTACCAGATCTAATACCTTGAATCTATTGATCACCTCTACCGTATAATCACAGGGATTTGATTTAGGTCATACCTGAATGATATAGTGGTTTTCCCTACTTTCTTCAGTTTAAGCCTGAATTTTGCAATGAGGTTCTCATGATCTGAGCCATAGTCAGCTCCCAGTCTCATTTTTGCTGACTGGATAGTGCTTCTCCATCTTCAGCAGCAAAGAACATAATCAATCTGATTTCATTATTGACCATTTGGTGATGTCCATCTGTAGAGCTGTCTCTTGGGTTGTTGGAAAAGAGTGTTTGCCATGACCAGCATGTTCTCTTGACAAATCTCTGTTAGCCTTTGCCCTGCTTCATTTTGTACTCCAAGGTCAAACTTGCCTGTTATTCCAGGTACCTCTTGGCTTTACTTTTACATTCCAATCCCCTATGATGAAAAGGACATTTTTTTTTTTTTTTGGTGTTAGTTTCAGAAGGTGTTGTGAGTCTTCAGTCTTCACAGAACTGGTCAACGTCAGCTTCTTCAGCACCAGTGGTTGGGGAATAGACTTGGATTACTGTGATGTTGAATGGTTTGCTTTGGAAATGCACCAAGATCATTCTGTCATCTTTGAGCTTGCACCCAAGTACTGCATTTCAGACTCTTTTGTTGACTATGAAGGCTACTCCATTTCTTCTAAGGGATTCTTGCCCACAGTAGTAGATATAATGGTCATCTGTTGAAGTCACCCATTCTGGTCCATTTTAGTTCACGGATCCCTAAGATGTTGATATTCAATCTTGCCATCTCCTGTCTGACCATGTTCAATTTACCTTGATTGGTGGACCTAACATTCCAGGTTCCTATGTAATATTTTCTTTACAGCATCAGAGTTTACTTTCACCACCAGACACATCCCACAACTGAGCATCATTTCTGCTTTGGCTCAGCCACTTCATTCTTTCTGAAGCTATTCGTAATTGCCCTCTGCTCTTCCCCAGTAGCATATTGGACACCTTCTGACCTGGGCAGATGGGGGGTGGGGAATATTTTGGTGTTATATCTTTTGCCTTTTTGTATGGTTCACGGGTGGGCTTCCCTGGTGGCTCAGTGGTTTAGAATCTGCTTGCAGTGCAGGAGACTCAGGAGATGCAAGTTCCATTCCTGGGTCGGGAAGATCCCCTGTAGAAGGAAATGGCAACCTACTCCAGTGTTTTTGCCTGGAGAATCCTGTGAACAGAGGAGCCTGGTGGGCCACAGTCCATAGGGTCGCAAAAAGTCCAACACTACTGGGTGATTGAACACACACGCACATTGTTCATGAGATTTCAGGCAAGAATACTGGAGTGGGCTGCCATTCCCTGCTGCAGGAGATCTTCCCCTACCCAGGCACCAAATCTGTGTCTCCTGAGTCTCCTGCATTGGCAGGCAGATTCTTTACTACTCAACTACCTTGAAAGTCCCAGTTGAGTCCATATCTTGGCTTATTTGCTGTATAACTCTGGATGAGCTAATTCATGGCTTCAGGGCTCAGAGGGTGATGAGAACAGCAGTACCCAATTCCTGGAGATACTGTGAAAGCAAAACAACTCATTTACATCAAGTGTTTACCAAGTGCCTGATAAAATAGTGGCTGTTTTATTCATGCTTTTGTTAATTAACTTTTCTGTTTTTCATGCCTCCTCTCTCTGTCTCCTCTTTTTAGCATGAGCCGCACAGCCTACACTGTGGGAGCCCTGCTTCTCCTCTTGGGGACCCTGCTGCCAGCTGCCGAGGGAAAAAAGAAGGGGTCCCAAGGGGCTATCCCCCCACCAGACAAGGCCCAGCACAATGACTCGGAGCAGACTCAGTCTCCCCAGCAGCCTGGCTCCAGGAACCGGGGGCGGGGCCAGGGGCGGGGCACCGCCATGCCCGGAGAGGAGGTGCTGGAGTCCAGCCAGGAGGCCCTGCATGTGACCGAGCGCAAATACCTGAAGCGAGACTGGTGCAAAACCCAGCCGCTGAAGCAGACGATCCACGAGGAGGGCTGCAACAGCCGCACCATCATCAACCGCTTCTGCTATGGCCAGTGCAACTCCTTCTACATCCCCAGGCACATCCGGAAGGAGGAGGGCTCCTTTCAGTCCTGCTCCTTTTGCAAGCCCAAGAAATTCACCACCATGATGGTCACGCTCAACTGTCCCGAACTCCAGCCGCCCACCAAGAAGAAGAGGGTCACGCGTGTCAAGCAGTGTCGTTGCATATCCATCGATTTGGATTAAAGCCAGGCACACCCAGACTGTCCTTGGGATGCAGGCCTCAGGCGGGCCCAGAGACAGACCTCAATCAACTTGATTCTTACTTGGCTTAAACCTAGAGGCAAGAAGGACCACCAGCTGCCTCCTCCCAGGAGCCTGCTAGTGTGTAGTTTGTGTGCATGAGTGTTCGTGGGTGCCTGTGGGTGTTTACAGACACCAGAGGAAACACAGTCTCTGCTAGAGGGCACTTCCTAGTATGCAAATGTATCTGCTTCCTTGCGGGATGACACAGAAAACCCAAGCTACTACCCCAGGCACTTTGGGGGGAGGGGGCGGTGGGCAGGCTGTAGTCTGGGTCTGCCTCGGTCTTCCATGTGCCCTCCTGGGGACCAGATCCTCCTTTCCAAATGGATATTAATGGAGAGGCTTCTCCGAGGGCACGAGACCTGTTTTGTGCTGCCTTGGCCTTGGAAAAGATGTTTTACCCTGTGCTTCCTTCCTTCCTCTTCCCTCTCCCAGGCCATCCCCTCTTAGGATCTCAGTGACTACTTCCGTCCACCACCTTCCCTGTCAAGGATTCTAAAGCAACTTGCTTGACCATAGATGCAAATGTTTCCTATTTGGGGAAGACCTTTGAGGCTCTAGGGGAAGTTGATGGTGCAAGGGCAAGAAGGATAGAGGGTTGAGAGAAGGGAGAGATTGCAGGTGAGGACCAGTTGGTCCAGCAAAATTCAAGCAGGAGATGGGCAGGGTGTGGAAAGGCCAGCCTCCAAACACAGTGAGACTCTTGCTTTAGCAAATTTCCCCCTGATGTTTAAAGAAGAGAAATAGAATTGCCAAAAAATCATTAACTTTGGCAGTCACTGTGACCGTAGAAATTAGCTGTAACTCAATACCAAACTTAAAGCATAAATATTGACCACTCCTATTTTCAGAACCAAGTGAGTGAAACCAAAACAGCCCCTCCTGCTTTGCCCCTCAGATGGACAAAAGATGTAATTCAGAAACTCCTACACAGGAATAGGAAAAAGACAAAAACCTCATAAGCAGAAGGTCTTATTATCTGTCCTTTTGGCTGGGTTATCATCACCCTTTCCTCAGTTCATTGTTTCTGTGTGGTGCTTCTGAGAACCACAACCCTGTAGGATAAAGATGCTGTCTCTGCTGAGTGAGTGTATGTGGCAGTGAAGGACCCGGCTGAGATAAAAGAATTTAGGGCCTGCTCCTTTCCACTCATTTGGGGTCTGTTTTAGCCATCGTTAGGAGATTGAACTGGAGAGCAGAGCAGAGTAAGGCAAGGAAGGCAATTGCTTCTGGCTAAGGAGTAGTTAAAAGGCAGGGAGGAGATGTAAGGGTATGACCTGTGTTTCTTCCTTCACCCTCTGAGGGTCTAAGGGAAACCCCAGTTAAGAAATCAGAGCATTTGTGTGCATTCGCTGTCCTACTGCTGGTAGGATTTATATAACATTATAGCCACTTGGAACCTACCGGTAGTTGCTGTTCTCTGATTAAACTTGGGTTATTTGCAATGCCTATTTAGGATTTATCTAATGGCCAAAGTGCAGGGTGGGGAAACCTTCCTGCATTTTGGATTTGGCCAACCTGCTTTCTTCAAGCCTGAGGTTTTATATGTAAACCACCCCACCCCCATACTCTTTTTGCCTTGCATCTTCTCAGTCTCACCAGCCAAGTCATGTGTAACATGGGAAACAAACACCATGGACTTGCATTTAGGTTGCCCATGAAGGCTCTAGCGTTCAAAGAATCATTGCAACTAAAGAGGCCGCTTTTATTTTATTTTTGTTTTGGTCCAGTGCTCTCCCCACTAACAACTAAATAGGAACCATACTTTGAAGCAGAAAGTCATCTTGTACACCCAAAATATTGAGTCTAATTTTAAAACGTTGAAACTCACTACTGATGATTCTACACTAGGAGAATTTGTGCTAACACATAGTCTGTGCATTTCACATACACTGTAGTCCCTGCCCTAAATCCTTCTATCGTCCACATCCTCCAACAATAAAGCACAGAATGGATTTAATTAAGCATGCAAATACTAAGCTAGCATTTTGAGGGTGGGAGAGAAGAAAAGAAAGGAGAAGGAGCTGAAAATATACAACCACACTAGAGAGGAAAATGACATTCAGAACCAGCAGACACCAAATCTCTTTTGCTGTTTTAACTGCCACAAGCTTGCAATTTTGTTAAAAAGAGATGACTTAAGTTGGCAGCAGGAATCTTCTTTTAGTAGCTTGTACCACAGTTTTGCATGTAAGTTGGATTTGGCTTAAGTGAAGAGAATTTGCTCAAAATGAACTTCACTGGGATAATAAGCAACATAACTGCCCTAGAAGCACAGCACTACCCAAAGAAGGAGATGTCTGCTTTTCTTTTTGTGCCTATATTAAAACTAGCCCAAGTCCCACGCATCTTCCAACATTTATTGAAAGTGCCATATCTGTTAATATTGTATTGGAGTCACTGATGATGTAATGATATGTTTTTTTCATTACTATAGTAGAATTTTTATGGCAAGATATTTGTGATCTAGATCTTTCCTATTAAAATAATGCCAAACACCAAATATGAATTTTATGATGTACACTTTGTGCTTGGCATTAAAAGAGAAAAAACACACATCCTGCGTCTGTAAGTTGTTTTTTGTTATTGTAGTTCTGCAAAGTTAAAAATGTAAGCGAATAATCTGGAGGAAAGGATAATTTCCACTGTGTGGAATGTGAATAGTTAAACAAAAAGTTATGGTTATTTAATGTAATTATTAACTCAAATCCTTTGGTCACTGTGATTTCAAGCATTTTTTTTTTTTTTCTCCTTTATATAACTTCCTCTGAGTTGAGCAAAGAAGAAGCTGGCACATTGTATGTTGTTGGAGGTTTTTATCAGGTCAGAGGGAAACAATAAAATCTTGACACATCTGAACGTGCTTATAGAGTCAAGACCTGAGCTTTTATTTTTATAATTGAATGTTCCTTAAAGGTTAACATTTCTGAGGCATCCTAAGAGAGATCTTAAATGTTATTTTGGAAGAATTAAATGTGCATATACTAATAGCAAATAATAATGAATTGTCCACAAGTCCTTTTATGGAGAAAATCTAAAATAAAAAAATGTATGTACAGAACATTTATAAATGACAAGTTAATGCTAAAGAGTGAAAGTAGTTCTACTGATTTGTCATTCTCAATATATTTAATATCAACTGCATTATGTATTATGTCTGCTTTAATCATTTGAAAAACAGAATTATGAAGACTATGATCAAGGTCCTTTGCTCTCTATGAGGATAAGGGGGGATTTGGTAGTCTCATAAAAGCTAATTTGGTTGAAAGCAAAGTTTTATGAATCTATAACTAGAATTTAACTTCACCCCAATAATGTTCTATATAACCTTTCCCAAAGAACAACCAATAAATTGAACTTCTTCTCTGTTTGTGTGTGTGTGTTTCACTGGTAGTGTTCACAGGATAGAGCTGGGGCAGGGATTCATTTGTCATGGGAAGTGAGGTAGAAAACAGATCATGAGATCTCTTGTGATCGGAAAAGAAAGGAATTTATTTCCTCCATTCACACTTTCCAGATCTCACTTGATTTCAGGAGAACACCTCAGGCAATGGCAGTTAGAGGCAGGGGAAAGCTGGTGAACAGTAGAAAGTACCAACTTCTTCCCCAGAGCTAGAAAGAAGAGTTAAAATGCTTCTGAGAAGCCTTCAGATAGTGGAAGCATTGTTGAGCTGAAATGGTAAAGCTTTATTCTCGAGGTATTCAAGGGAAAAAGGGGAGAAAGACTTGGGGCTCAGTAGAATAAGGAGCTCGCTAATGATGAGAGTGATTCAGCAATGCAATGAACTATCTTTGAGATAGTCAACTCCCTTGGAAATATTAAAACATATGCTTGATATCATTTGATAGGGATTTGAGGCATTGTGAATTACTGCCCTGGTTATGCAACTGAATGAGTGAATTTCTGAGGTCCCTTCCTACTTAGATGGGCAATACAGGATTGCTGCTATGTTTTGATGCTCTAACTGATAAAATGCCTATGCCAGACACTGTCAAGGATTTTATTTTAATTATTTTCCAACTTAATTTTCATAGTGCCTCAACAATGTGTGTACCATTATGATTGCTGCTAGGAAATGGTGAATTCTTGTCTTACTACAGCACCTGTGCCCTTAAACACTATGGAAAGTTGTGAGATTTTTCAGCTTACCAGTTCTTTTAAGGATAGACTGCAGCAATTTAAAAACAGATTCAGTCTTGACTATTTGCATCTAATGATCAAAGCCACCCTGAGGTTGTATTGGCATCATCATCCTGATGGCATCATCAGGAACTCCTGTTCTGAAGCATTCAAAGTCTCTTTGCCACCTCTTTTTGTCATGGCCTCCTTGGACTTAGAGGGGGAAAAAGGTGGCAAGTCTCAAAAAGACAGTATCTTCAGAAAAATCACATGCACACCTAGGAGATAATATCTGGACAGGGTTTGAAAAGGTAATGGGACTGGAAAGAGAAATACGTTCTAGGTTTCAAAAAAAGTATGTAATAGGAGATCAGCAAAAAATGTTGGAGTGAGAGGCATTGAAAGTTTTTTCCTCCATAAAATCTTTGGAAGTCTGCAAAAATAGAATCAGATATTTAGAACTCAGGAAATTTACCTAAAGACTTGCAGCAGTCTGAGGAGTGCTTATTGAAGACAAAGGCTGAATATCTGTAACAACAGTGAGCCTTGTCATATTGTAACTTGCCCTATTTTCATCTCCCTCTCCAGTTCCATAGAAGCCTTGAAACCAACAGCCTGCAATTATGGCAAGCACCAGCAGTCTGACAGTCACTGGGAGAGGTAGAATGGGATTTGAGTTCTTTGAAAGCCAAATACCCAGAGAATTGTAATTATTTGACCTGTCTGTCAGGCCCTGGAGGCCCCACTTGCAAAAGTATCTTTACTTGACCTAATTGGAAACTACCTAGTGTGAAAAACCCTGTTGAAAACAATTAGAGGCAATTGATTATTTTTGTGGCCACCTGAGGCAGTGGATAGCAATTGGGGTTCACAATAGGTTAAACAAAAAGCTTAAAAAGGAGACTGCAGAATGACATTTTGGGGGGCTTTGAAAAGCTTCAACATATTACTGGGAATCTAGAAAGCCAAATCATATATAGGGCTGTGTGCCTGCCCACGGCTGTGAAAAAGCTCAGCAAGACTCTGAGCAGGCCATGAGGTCTTACTGCAGGCTGACCTTGAGGCTCTGCTCAGGCAGAAAGCGAAGGCAGGGCTGTGAGCTGCCTGGCTGAGTATTGACTGTGTGCCCCAATATTCACACAGAGCCCCTCAGCAAAGACTGGAGGACTTCTGGGTTCCAAGGATTTGAGGAAATTATTGTTCAGCTATTAGCTGAACACTAAGCTAGCCAAGCAGAGGTCTTAGTGGCCATACACAACACAAAATACAGACTTTACACAATTAGCTTGGAGAAGCTTCTAAAGAATGAAATAAATATTAACAAACAGAAGCAACAAGAACTGGGGAGGGGGAGACAGACTGATTTCAAAAGTTACTACATCATATTATTTAAAATGCCCACTTTTCAACAGAAGATTGAAACATGCAAAAAATAAAATAAAATCCAAGAAAGTATGGCCCATACATAAGAGAAAAAAAAAGAAACAGTCCCCTAAAAAGCTCAGACATTAGACAAAAGCTTCGTCAACTTTTTAAATATGTTCAAGAACTGAGAAAAACCATTTCTAAAGAATCTAAGGAAAATAGGAGAATGAAATCTCACTAAATTTGTAATGTCAGTAAAGAGATAGAAATTACTGTAAAAAATAGAAATTTTGAAGCTGCAAAGTATTATAAGTAAAATAAAAATTTTACTAGAGGGGCTGCACAGCCGATTTGAGCCGGCAAAAGAAAATTAAGAAACCTTTACCTAGACTGATATGAGAGAAAGACTACTAAATCCAGGAGAAGAGGGAATAGTACTATGAAACTTACAGAAATAAAAAGGGCTATAAGAGAATACCATGAAAAATTGTAGGCCAACAAATTAGATAACTGAGGAAATAGACATTTCTACTATACAAGTCTGATTCCATTTTTTTGATGTTTGACTACTAAAATCTTGTAAGCCTCATCCCTCTATCTTCCCCTTATGCCCCACATCTGATAAAGCTGATAAGAAAGCCCAGGTTCTCTTTCATCTGCCTCTGATGAGATGATTAAGCTAAACAAGGGCCCATCTCCTGCAGGTGGGAGCGCTCATCCCAGCATCATTCTCTAACCACCATAAAAGCTCCGCGTCAGCTTCCTTCTCCTGTTCTCTCAAGCCATTTTTCAGACCAGGTTGGGAGGCCTGCCCTGTTCTCTACAGAAAGCCTCTTTATGTGAGTAATAAATCTTTTCGTATACTCTTGGGGTGTTTGTGGTGTTATCGGTCTGAACCAAACTTTAGGTAAGGTCCATTCTGTTTATGCAGGTGTGCACAACACCTAGAAACACACAAACTCCTGAGACTGACTCAAGAAGAAATAGATATTTGAATAGAATTATTACAAATAAATGAGATTGAATTTGTAATAAAAACAAACTTTCCACACACACAAAAAAAAGGCAAGACCATAAGCTTCAGTGGTGAATTTCACCAAATATTTAAAGGATTAATATCAATTCTTTATACCTCTTCTAAAAAAAAATAGAAACACATTCTATCTCATCTTATGTACCCTGACAACCAAAACCAGACAAAACATCATAAAAGAAAATTATAGACAAATATCTCTCATAGAGATGCAAAAATCCTCAGCAAAATAAGTAGGTGAGTCCAGCAACATATAAAAAAGATTATATACCATGATTGAATGAGATTTGCCCCAGGAATTTTAGGTTGGTGTACTAAAATATCAATGTAATAAAACATTAATAGAATATAGAAAAAAAAAAAAAACCCAAAAAAGCAAAAGGAAAAAAAAACTGAAAAAAATGCATCTTTTCATGATACAGTCACTCAAAACGCTAGGAATAAAAGGGAATTTCTGTAATCCGATAAAAAGGCATCTATGAAAAACCAACAACTGATGTTACTTAAAGGTGAAAGAAAGACTGAAAACTTCCCCGTGAGGGTATCTTTACTTCTTTTCAATATTGTACTTGAGGCTGTAGCCCGGTAATTAGGCAAGGAAGGGAAAATAAAGTCATCCAGATTAGAAAGGAAGAAGTAAAACTATTTCTATCTTCAGACAACAAAAACTTGTATGTAGAAATACTAAGGAATTGACCAAAAAAATTTAAAAATTAGCCTTGTCTTAGTCCATTCAGGAGCTTCATTCATGGCTCAGTGGTAAAGAATCCTCATGCCAACTCAAATTGATCCCTGGGTTAGGAAGATCCCCTGGAAAAGGAAACGGCAACCCACTCCAGTATTCTTGCCTGGGAAATCCCAGCGACAGTGGATCCTGGTGTGGCTCCTGGGGTCCATGGAGTCGCAAAGAGTCAGACACAACTGAGCAACTGAACAACAGTCCATTCAGGGACTGTAACAAAATACCATAGACTAGGTAGCTTATAAACATCAAACATTATTTCTTACAGTTTGAGAGGCTGGGAATCCAAGTTCAGGGTGCTTTCATGGCCTGGTGAGGGCTTGTTTTCAGGTCCCCAACTTTTCATTGTGTCCTCATGGGGGAAAGGAGCTAGGGATATTTCTGGGGCCCCTTTTATAAGGTACTAATTTCATTCATGAAGTTTCTGCTCTCCCAAAGGCCCCACCTACTAATTCCATTATATTTGGAGGTTAGGATTTCAACCTATGAATTTGGGGTGATGGGCGGACCCAAACATTCAGAACATAGCAAAAATGAATATCAAAGTTATGGGTGCAAGATCAATATTCAAAAATTAACCATCATCTAGACACTAGCAATAAAAAATCTGAAACTTAAAAAGTAATTCCATTTGCAATAGCATCAAAAGAATAAAATACATAGGAATACATTTGACAGAGGAAGTTTTATAATAAAACTATAAAAGAATTTATATATTATATATATAAGAATTTATATATTATATAAAAGAATTTAGAAAACATCAAAATAAATAGAAAGATGCTTTGTGTTCATGAATTAGCATTAATATTGCTATACATATTCTACACGATCTCTATCAAAATCCTAATTGACTTCTTTGCAGAAATTAATAAGCCAATTTACATGAGAATGCAAAGGGCCCAGAATATCCAAAACATTCTAGAAAAAAGGACAAAGTTAAAGGACTCACACTTTCTGGTTTCAAAATTTACACGAAGAATTGTTACAAGGTGAACACTCATTTTTAACAGTCATTAGGTTAAGAAATAATAATTTTTCCAGTCTCCCCAGAAGCTCTCCTATGCCCCAGCCCAACTTTACACACTTTTTCACATCACAGTAACATTC